GCCACGTCGCCAGCCAATCAGGTTGTCGGATTGACTCTGGCGTTTGTCTCTGACGTAAAGCGCGTCCTCCTTTGTTTAGTAGATGAGCTTGCTACAATCAAGGCGTACATACCACATGAGGGCGGCAGTGTACATCAGTTTTCTTCAGCAGAAGAACTATCGGACGATCCATCTTCAAGGTTTCCTACCCCGAGGCCTCCAGAGAGCCTGTATCTCCCTCCTAGACCTGATGGTCTTCTCTTGATACTCCTGTACTCTTGCTTCCACTCGGCAAGCTCCTTCTCCGACACCGCTCGACGTCCCGCAGCACTCCTGTCATGCTTACCCGTGAACCAGCAGATCACGGAGAAGAACTCACAGTCTAGCGTCCCGCACAGTTCTCCATCCCCGAGGAATGTCAAACTGCCCTCACCATCGTACGTCCCTCCTCCGCGTTGCTCATGTGCGCGCCATCTGTACTCAACTTCAACATGTCCGTTGGTGGATGATCGGTCGCGCTTGCCCCGGATGATGCCTTTCAGAATGCCGAAATCGAAGCGACCCCAGAGGTGGTTGCCTGTGATCTTGGAGGGACAAAGCGTTAGGCTGAGCTTCCGTCTGCATTCTCGAGGCCAGTCGTCTGCAAGAGAGGGAGCATCGATAGTATATCTGCCTGTGAAGTCGGATGATTGAAACTATACAAGGATCAATCACCGCTCCCACGATACAACGGCACGCTGATCACGTACCTCGCTAGGTTTAGCGGGACCGGCGTGCCGCCTAGCCTGTTGTCTTTCTGCTCTAACACCAGAGCTGCTGGACTCCCGAGGCTCAATGTCTTTGTTCTTCTTCCCCTTCATGCCGATAGAAGTGTCGTTGGTTCTCATGTATTCCTTCTTCCATCGTGCCAGTTCGTCGGCAGAGACAGGACCGCGCGTCTCAGTATCATACTGCTTTCCGGTGAATGCACACTTCTCCGAGAATAGCTGACACTGTAATGTTCCGCATAGCCTCCCGTCGCCGATGAAGATCAACGTTCCCCCATCTTCATACATCTTTGTCTTGCCCTGCTCGTGTCCGCGCCATCGGAATCTGGCTATCTCGCCGATAGCGGTAGGAGTCTTGCAGTAAATAATACCGCTCACGATGCCAAACTGGAAGCTACCCCAGAAGTGATCGTTTGTACGTTGCGAGGGAGACAGGGTGAGGGAGAGCCTTCGATCACAGTACCCAGGCCACTCATCCGCGAGTGAGAGCGCGATGATCGTGTACTGGCAGGCAAAGTCGGATGGCTGTAGCTATGCGTACGATTCTTTGGTAAGCGTACGCGACATCGCGCATTGGCATGGACAGTGTATATACCTCGATCAGCGTATGAACATCGGCCTGCTGTGCAGTTCTTGCTCGCTTCGTCGCCGGACCGTCTGTGTCCGAGTCATACGAAGTTCCCCTCTGTGACAATGAAGAGAGTGAGCGAAGATTATGCGCACAGGGCCACAGGCTTGCTTCGCACCTTGAGCAACATTCTCTCTACCTCTTCCTGCTCCTTCCGTAGTTCTCCTTCCGCTTCGTCGCGTTGCTTCTCCCATTCTTCCTTCAAATCCTCCTCCAAGCCGAGCAGCCGCTTTGGAACCCTCAACGCTTTCCCATCCCCGAACGCTTCCATCAACTTCTTCTTCGCTGCTCGTTTGGTGGTGACTGGTGCGATACCATAATGTGCCATCTGCGCGATGTAGAAAGCGCCGGTCTCGTCTTTCTTAGATGAGTGGCTTCTGGTGAGCAGATCGTAGAGTTTTCGAGAGTCGATGCGAGGGTAACGTGTGCGCTTCGCGCCCTGTTCGACATACATGTCGCAGCCGTCGTACCAGAAAGTGCGGTCAACCGTGACCGGGGTTGTGCCGTGCATGTCGAAGTCGCGCCAGATGTGCCTTCGGTGATTGTTGCAACGGTGGTGGTAGAGGATGAAGCCGGGTTATCAGACTGATGGTCTAAACGCGGCTTATGGGCGCTCGATGACGTAGCCGTGTCTCGGTGTGATTTGCTCATGCCAGCGCGGGCTTCGGCGTTCTCTACGTCTCATGTATACTGCATGACAAGATGATGAGACATATACCATTGTCCCGCGTAGAAGTACGAGGAAAAAAATCACATGCCTCTCGATTGATTCGCCGATCGTTGAGCGAGAAAAGTCTGATTTACCAGTTGGCGCAAAAAGGTACCGCGCCGGGCCGCGAATGTCACGTTACCGTGAAATGTGCGCTTTTTATCCAATTTTGCCATTTTCGGCCACTGCGCCGGGTTGGCGCCGGGTAGCACGAGCTGACAGCGCTACTTAGCAGTATATTCTAGCCGTGTACTGCATGTTGAGACGAGATCCCCGCTATCATCAAGTACCCGTAAGTGAGTACAGACTTGGCGGCGCGACGACGCAATCCGGTGTTTCAATCGTGCGAGCTTTGCGTGGGCGCGGCTTGATATGATGAGCGACGCGCGCGCAGTCCCTCAGAGTTTCCCTCACACAACCATGATAATGACCACGTATTGGGATATCCAAACCCAGCGTATGCTCATCAGAGTCTTCCTCCGTGTTGGATACCATCTATGCTTTTTGAGTAATCTTGGGGAGCCAGTCCTGGCCGAATGGCGGGTCTACCTCATGCTTCTCTTCAAGTACATCGGAGGCCGGCTTCCGATTGAATGGGCGTGCCAACGCAACCGAGAAGCGCTGACTACGTGCGCTCCCGAGCGTCTACAATGACTCCTGCTGAGCCTCTCACCAATATGACAGCGGGTCCGTTCGAGGTTTCACGCCGCCAGTTCTTTTTGGTTCGAGCTCGACTGCCAACTTCGAGGAGCATTACTATCGTCCCTACTTTCGTCGCGCGCTCATTCATCGGCGCCTTTTTGTGGAAAACCGCCCGCCATGGTACTTCAGGTCGTCGTCAGCGCGGTTACATATGCTGTGACACCAGAGGATGCTCTTGTGCCGTGCGTGGGTCCATTGCTAGTGCTCGAGTCGTCTGACTGATACGTTACATTGCAGCTTATGGCGAGATATGCGCATGATACCTGTCTACGTTGCAGTCGTGTCGATAGTTATGGCGGTTCTTTTGTCCGTCTCTCGTGGCCTGCATGGCACGGTTTCCGAGGTCACCCGCCCACACCAGCGAAACATCACCGGCAATAACCTACGCACTCATGTCCTCCTGCTAGGCGGAATTAGGATCTACGCCTTTAGAGTTGCTCGGACGATATGTGTGTTGGCTTTACTCGTCCTCTACGCGTACGAGTTTGTGCGCGACGTTAGCTTGCGCGATTACCCGAAACAAATGACGAAGGACGAGATACTCGAACTTGTGCTCTTCTTGACTTATGTGAGTGTCCAAGATACAGAATGTGCACAACCCGCTCATGCGACCTGTAGCTCTACGCTTCCGGTCTGGCTCTCCTCAACGTCGTAGCGGAAGCTTCGTTGGCTCGGACAGCTGCACCCCACCTGGTGCTCATCCTGCTCACAAGCTGCGCAGTGTACGGCCTTCGGAACGTATGGCCACTCATGACCTACACGCTTCAACCAGTCGACGAGGGGGCAGGCGCACTTCTATGGGTCAAGATTGCTCTGCTCGCTGTAGCGGGAATAGTCATTCCGCTCATCGTGCCCCGGCAATATGTTCCTGTAGACCCAAAGGTATCTTGTTCGATATGCTAGCTTGGGCAGAAGACTGACGAAACTCCAGAACCCGTCTGCAGAACCCAACCCGGAGCAGACATGCTCACTCCTATCGTTGCTCACGTACAGCTTCTTGGACAAACCCATATTCGCTGTGTACAACAATCCTCTTCTGGCCTCTGAAACGCTGCCCGAGATTGCGGACTACGATCGAACAGTACACCTTGTGGACCGCAGCTTCAAGTACATGGACGTCTTCTCGGGTGCTCCACGTCAGCATATGTTCTTCGCACTCATGCGCGTATTTCGTCAGTCGTGCTACGATGGCATAAACCGATGGCTGTTATAACTTTGAACAGGGGCGGAGTACGTCATACTCTCTCTTCTCATGATCATGCGCGCGTGCACCTATCTCCTTGCGCCCGTGGGCATCAACCGGCTACTAGCGTAAGAGACGCGCTCTTGCTTAGTACCTACTGTTACTCACGATCGTGATAGATACCTCGAGACGGGCGGAGAAGGCGTTACTGTGCGACCGTGGGTCTGGTGCCTGCTGATGTTCTTCGGCCCGTTGGTAGGTACTGTCACAATGCAGTATTATACTTTCATCACGGTACGTCCCGACATCATGCAATGTTGTGAGGAACACGACTGACACCGACGCCTGGCAAGACTGGGACGGTAGTGCGCGCCGAAGGCATCATCACGCAGCTTATCTTTGAGCACGCCCTGCGCCTGCGCGTGAAGTCAGAGACAGCGAGTACACCTCCACTATCTGCGACGCAGACCCCACAGACCGCATCCGTCGCAGGCACAGACACCGGAGCTGTCGCTAGCGAGGGCCCCGAATCTCCGATCGCTCATCAAGGAGAGGCGGACTCTTCGACTGCCGTTTCTTCGCCATCTCGAACAAGCACCAAGGGTCCGGACAAGGTCGGCGATCAGAAAAACAATGTTGGTAAGGAGGAAAAGGGCGACAACTTTGCCGGAAAGATCAACAACCTAGTCACCACGGACTTGCAAAACATTGTGAATGGCCGCGACTTCACTATAGCTATTGTGTTCACCCCGGTCATGGTCGGCATGTCCCTATACTTCTTGTATCTCGTGTTGGGTTGGAGGTACGTTCTTATGCTCGTCATCAGAACGGTCCCAAACAAGCACTTACCGGATATCAGCGCATTCGTCGGGATGGGTGTCATGGTCACATGCTGGCCCATACCGGCATATCTAGTGAAGAAGCTGCAGGAGGCACAGAAGACGCTCATGAAGAAGACGGATGCACGGGTTCAGGCAGCCACTGAGATGATGGGCGTTTTGCGGATGATCAAGATGTTCGGATGGGAGGGGAAGATCGCAGAGCGCCTCAGCATGAAACGCGTTGACGAGCTCCGCTGGCTGCGCACTTCGGAGATGATCGACCTCGGTAACGACGGTGTTACGCTGTGAGTGAATCTGAGACGAGAGAACGATCATGATCGGGATACTGACACCCATGTTGCCTCGCAGGTTTATGCCCGTCTTCCAGATGTTAGCCACCTATGGGACGTTTACATTGGTGATGGGAGGCCGGCTTACACGTATGAAGGCGAACTACAGCTTTACGCTCCTACTGACATAGTTGATAGCTTCCATCGTGTTCCCGTCGATGTCCGTCTTCATGCTTCTTCGCACCCACATGGACATGTTCTTCTATCTCGCCTCACCGGTCATCAAAGGTATGTTGATGTTCCTTGCATCCGTACGCATACCAAACTCATTACTCTCCTTTAGCAAAGGTCTCTCTGGACCGTGTCACAGAGTTCCTCCGCGAAACAGAGTTACTGGACCGATACGCACAAATGCGCGACGGACCGACCTCGAACGGCCTACTTGTTGGACAACCCGCAGATCCCTCAGTCGTTGGCATGTGCGATGCGTCATTCACTTGGACTGCACCCTCATCGTCGATCGATGGTACTCAGACTCCCTCGCGACGCACCTTCACTCTACGTATACCGGGAGAGCTCATATTTGAGCAAGGCAAGATCAACCTCATCGTCGGACCGACAGGCAGCGGCAAGACAAGCTTGTTGATGGCTTTACTCGGCGAAATGCACTTTATCCCTCTCGTAGGAGGAGCATGGATGAATCTCCCGCGCACGCGTGGTATCGCGTACGCTGCTCAGGAGAGCTGGGTGCGGAACGAGACTATCCGCGACAACATTCTCTTTGGCGCTCCCTATAACGAAGCTCGTTACAAACAAGGTGCGTACACTGCGACCTTTATCGTCACTCGACTCTGACGCGACCTACAGTCATACATCAATGCGGATTGAAACGCGATCTGTCTCTCTTCGAGGCCGGAGATAATACCGAGGTCGGCGAGAAGGGTCTGACTCTCAGTGGAGGCCAGAAAGCGAGAGTGACGCTCGCCCGCGCTGTGTACTCCTCCGCGGATGTACTCCTATTGGACGACGTGCTTGCGGCCTTAGACGTGCACACGGCCAAGTGGATCGTTGACAAGTGCTTTAAGGGCGATCTCGTCCGCGGTAGAACTGTGCTGCTAGTGGTACGTAATCTGCTGTCTCCGTACCTGCACCCGGCACTGACTGATACCGTTCGCAGACGCACAACGTCGCCTTGGCTAGTACTATCGCCGATTACGTGGTCTCCCTTGGTGGTGATGGCACCATTGCGGCCAGAGGGCTGTACAAGGAGATTCTTGCCGAGGACAAGGATCTCGCTGACGAGGTCGCTCAAGAGTCCGAGAGACTCACGAAGATTGACGAGGGGATTGAAGAACCCGAAGTTCCGGATGATCCAGCGGCTAGCCGGGCCGGCGGGAAGTTGATCGTGAAAGAAGAAGTTGCGGAAGGACATGTCTCCCTGCACGCTCGTGAGTCTCAGGCACTGGGGATGCGATATTGTACAATGCTCACAACAGCACGCAGTCAACCTCTTTTGGACGGCTCTTGGGGGCGAGCACCCAGTATTATTCTGGGTCGCTTTCTTCGTTTTCCTGTTCGGCTATCATATCCTTGCGAATTCCCAAGTAAGTACGTGTGCGCATATGACCCGAGCATCTTACTCACGTGTAACTAGTCATTCTGGCTGGGTCGCTGGGCGGATGCATATGCACGTCCCGGAGATGTGGATGTTATTTAGTGAGGAAGCCATCGCTAATGCATAGATCATCGCTGAGCGCTGATGCCGTGTCCCTGAACAGCTACATGGCCAACTTCGCCCTGCTCGTTTTCTGCACCACGGTTTCATACCTCATCTTTAGCGTCACATACGTATTTGGGATCCTCCGTGCAGCCAAGAAGATCCACGCCCTCCTCATCGACTCTATCCTTGGTACAACACTGCGATGGCTGGACCAAACACCAGTGTCCAGGGTGATCACCCGCTGTACCAAGGACATAAAATCGATCGATGGAAAGCTTGCGGGACAGTTCCGTTGGCTAAGTGCGTCGGTTTTCCTATGAAGGCCGCTTCATCTCACTGATTATACACAGTGAGCGTCACCGTGCAGTTAATCACCCAGCTCATCGCTATTGCGCTGATTACTCCTGGCGTCGTTTTTCCTGGCGTCGCGATCTTTTGCATCGGTGCTTGGTTCGGTAATATCTACATGAGAGCGCAGTTACCGGTGAAGCGAGAGATGAGTAACAAGAAAGCGCCGGTACTCGGTCACTTCGGGGCTGCTATGACCGGTCTAAGTGAGCCTCATTGCGATCTGTCCCAGAGTATTGTACTGATAGATGGTCTAGCATCTATTCGAGCATACGGCGCGGAAGATGCATTTCGCAAGGAATCGTACAAGCGCATCGAGAACTACACACGATCTGGTAGGACGTTCTACAACCTCAATCGCTGGATCAGCACGCGGAGTGATGCGCTCGCTGCCCTCTTCCCGTCCGGACTCGGGGTCTACATGGTCTATGGGCCAGGTGCCGCAGCCGTCGGCGCCTCCAACGCCGGGTTCTCGCTCGCAATGGCCAGTGAGTAGTATTGAGTCCCCGTCGGATTTGGTACTTATATGCTTTCAGCTGCGTTCAGCAACATGATACTGTACGTGCACTATCAATATGAGATGTCTTATATCACGATACTGACTGGCAGTGCAGGTGGTGGGTCAGGGTGTTCAACGACTTCGAAATTGAAGGGAACAGTCTGGAGCGCATCCAGGCATACCTGGAGATTGAGCAGGAGCCCAAGCCTTTGAAGGAGAAGGTCCCTCCGGCATCATGGCCGGCTAGTGGTGAACTGCGTGTTGAAAGACTCTCTGCGCGCTACTCTTCAGAAGGGCCCACTGTCCTCCACGACATATCGTTCACTGTTCAATCCGGAGAGCGCGTTGGCATCGTCGGTCGCACCGGTAGTGGGAAAAGCTCTCTCACGCTTTCGCTCTTGCGCTGCATTCATACCGAAGGCGACGTCTACTACGATGGTTTCAACACGGCCAACCTCAACCTCGATGTACTGAGAACCAACGTCACCATCATACCTCAAGTCCCTGAGCTGCTGAGCGGAACGCTGCGCGAGAACCTGGACCCATTCAGCGAACATGACGACGCAGTCCTCAACTCGGCATTGCGTGCGTCGGGTCTATTCTTGTTGCACAGTGAGACGGACGAAGGCCGCATCACGCTCGACTCACAGATCTCGAGCGGCGGCGGCAATTTAAGTGTTGGTCAGCGCCAAATCCTGGCTCTTGCCCGTGCTCTTGTGCGCGGTAGCAAGCTGCTTATCCTGGACGAAGCGACATCGTCGATCGATTACGACACGGACACCATTATTCAGTCTTCGCTTCGCCATGAACTTGGTAGAGACGTGACGCTTCTCACCGTCGCCCACCGTCTGCAGACGATCATGGATGCTGATAAGATCGTATGATCGCTTTGTTCTTGATCTTGATGGTTGCTGATGTTCTCTTCAGATGGTTCTTGACGCTGGCCATGTTGTCGAATACGACAGCCCGAAGGTTCTCCTGAATAAAGAGGGCGGCTATCTCAAGTCGCTTGTGGACGAGAGTGGCGACAAGGATGTATTGTACGCTATGGCGGGTGGGGTCGTTGCTGGAATTTAGGCTCTGGATGCCGATCTTCTCTTGTAACGCTCACTATTGTTGGCAGCATATAGTCAGGACAAGAGGAGGGTGGGAGACGCAGATGCACCACCGCGTTCAGAGCTTATCAGCGTCTCCGTGTTTCCGACGAACGTGCATGTATACATTTCCGACAATGACAGTGTATGGTGCCGGTATTACAGAGATGCTATGCCTCAGCTCAACAACACTGACGAGTCATTGATTTGCTGATCATGCATATATGGTATCCTTGTCAGGTACCACTGTCTCAACGAGCGATTTGATGAGAACTGCATTGGGTGGCCGCTCTGAGAGCTGAGCAACGGATTGGACCAAAGTATTCTACATTCATAGCGACCAGCGCAGAGCTCGACTAGAATGACCGTAGCAAGTAGATGTATAGTTGCTGGCATGGGCTACCATCCGTCATCGGAAAGCTCTGTGTCCTCGCCGTCGTCACTCGTTGTGTCCGACCCAGCAGGCGGTTCCTTTTAGCCGGCATTTCTGCTCCAAAGACCGTGTTGAGCTTTCTTCGCAGCACTATCCGCGCGTTCATTGATGCCCCGCCACTCCTCCTTCCACCTTGAGACGTGTAAAGCCCATTTGATCGGACGGCTACCCGATTGCTCGTCGCGAACGCCGGAGAAGGTGAGCTCCCTCTTCGACGCCGCTTTCTTGAAAGTACCGCGGATTTTCCCGTTCTCCAGGAACGTAAGCGTTCCCTCGTTGCTCCATGAATGTAGCATGCGGCCTTCTTCCCTGTCGCGTCCCCTCCAAGTGAACGTGACAGTATCACCGATAGACTTCGGAAGCGGACCGCCACGGATGTTGCCATGAAGAAGACCAAACTCAAAACTGCCCCATAGATGTCTTCCAGTTCCTTCAGAAGCAGCCAGGTATATCTTGAGATTTCCAGGTGCCGCGTCCCATTTATCCTCCATAGCTTTCGAGTTGAGCGTAAACGGTCCCTCGAAGTCCTGAGCAGAAAACTAGTCTCATGAGTGTTCTGGAGAACCCAAGATGGACATATAGCGCACCTTTTTATCACTCCCACTTGGCCTTGCTTTCTTCTGCGCGGCCTTGCTCGGACCTTCTACCGCCTTTCTCTTGCGCGCAGGGGTCGTCTTCGTCGACGTAGCACCCTGATCCTCCATGTAGCGTGAGTACTCATATAACTGGCTACGTACTAGCAGAATAACGCACCCCTTCATCTCGAAAGTTCCAGAGTCTCTCCAGATCACGTTGCAGGTCCTGCAGCTCTCGGGGCACCCCAATTTCCCGCGCCTTGCCGAATGCAGCTAAGAGTACTTTCTTCATCTCCGGTCTCGTCCTCTTGGGTGTCAAGCCATAATGTCTGAGTTGAGCCTTATAGTACCCTACAGACTCATCCTCTTCACCGGCAAAGCGAGTGATTTGTGAGTACAGTTGCTTCGGAGCTGCTCGTTGGTAGCAACGATCATCGCCCTTCAACTTCAAGTAGAAGCCAGCGCCGTCATCGTAGAAAAAGTCGTCATCGCGGGTGACAGGGCCAGCATGAAGTTGTTGCTTACTAGTTCGAGGCATAAAGTTGAAAGGTGTACGCAAAGAACCATATGACGACGAGCGTCAAGAAGCTAGGGCGGTGCGCTCGGGGAACGCGGTCAGGCCCGATGACGTGAAAGCACTGCCGTTTACGAAACACACGTGGTCGCGTAGCAGGCGCGCGCGGCACGGCCATCCAGATGCATCTGTCCTTCTTCGCCGCCACCAACATCGCTCTTGCGTTGCTGATATACACGTTCGTTTTCTGTCATTCAGTTGAGACGGACGGATTGAACCCACCCATCCTCTATGCAGCATCGTATCAGCTCTTCAGTATACCACTATCTCGGCGCGAGGTCATCGGGCGGGAAATGTGGCGCGTGTACCGTTTCCACCATAGCCTCGCACTCCTCTAGGGCGCCGGGACGCCGAAGGCATCGTGGAAGGTGTACGATGCGCTAGCGAAGTTTCGTGAGAGCTCATCTGCTCATATCTTGACTGGACTAATAGGTAAGCTAGGCACTTCTATACTGCCGCGTTAGATCCAACTGTGAACGTTGTGTGCATACATTATCCTTGTACAACTCACAGCAGCCAGTGGAATGGGCGCGCCAAACGTCTATATACACTATGGCAGCCCTAATCGTCCCTGGATCTGCGCGCTTAAACGTGTGAGATCCCGACGGGCTTCTTTTGAGTGACCTGCGAGCGCCCGCGGTCGAAGATTTGACGCGCATGGGCCCTCGAAGTTGACAGGGTGATACCCGCTTTATCCCAATCGTGTGGTCTTACAGCGAGCACGGGTGCATTTATCGTGTATAAAGGTTGTCGACTTCAGGCGATGGATAATGATCTACGATATGCTCCCCACACTTGACCTTGTGAAGCTGACCGCCACAGAGAACCCGGTCCCAATCATCGGATTCATCTCCGCCTGTGTGATAACACTAGTTGTGCGCTACCTGAGGAGTCCCTGGCGGCGACTACCAGCTGGACCCTGTGGCTATCCTGTCATCGGGAACGCACTTCAGCTAAAGGATAGTCAATGGCTTCTATTCAGCGCCTGGCGAAAGCGCTATGGTTCGTCATCAGCTTACCTCGTGACACACTAGAATGCTGACGAGTTGGTGGCCAGGTGATATGTTTTATCTGAACGCTGCCGGGCAACCGATTGTCGTCGTCAATAGGCACGAGATCGCGGCTGACTTACTTGACCGCCGCGCCGGCATATACTCAGATAGACCAGCGAACATAGTCGGGGGCGATATGATGACCGAAGGGTTATTGCTTGGCTTTACCCATTACAGTGACCGGTGCGTGTGACTATTGCTGTACACTGTTTCCAGTGCTAATACATGCTATAGCTGGCGCAGGATGCGTAAAGGCGCGCACGAGACCGTCAACAAAGTCGTCGCCCATGGACTCCACGAATACCAGATGTCCGAGGCACTCGCACTTGCGAAAAGCGCGTTGCTCAATCCGGCTTCTTGGGATGCCTATCTGCGGCTAGCTTCTGCGAGTCTGATGCTATCGAGTCTGTACGGAGAGCGCCCGGTAAAACTTTGGAGACGAATATACTGTGAGACCCTGCTCATTTGATACTCTAGCTTGAAAGCGAAGACGACCCCCGCCTTCGCTTCATAAGCACCTTCAGCGAGCGTGTCACTATGGCTCTTGCACCTGGCGCACACTGGGTAAGTCGCCGGGCGTCTTTGGATACCGCAGTGCTAAGGGCGTACAGGTCGAGATCTTGCCTTGGATGCGCTACATCCCTAGCACATTCGCCGAGTGGAAGCGTACCGCGAAAGCTTGGAATCGTGCGGCTAACGATGAGTTTCTTCGCGCCTTCGGGCGCGTCCAAGAGAGCTTCGTGCGTCATCATTCTTTGGGCCTTCCTCCCCACTGAGCTCTTCCAGGCTCGTGGCGAAGATAAAGCCTCGTTTTGCTCGACTCTCATCCGCGAGGCTGATCGTTATGGACTGAGTCCACATGAGAATGCCTGGTTGGCAGCTACCATGTAGTGCGTATATCGCTTACTACGCGGGGCCTTCGTCCTGATGCGACGCAGTTCGGCAGGTGCCGATACAACGTCCTCCTCCATGAGCTGGTGGTCGCTCGCTATGTTGGCATACCCCGACTTACAGACCCGTGCACAACACGAATTGGATATGGTCGTAGGGCGCGCACGTGTACCAACGTACGCAGACATGCCCCACCTACCGTACATCTGCGCGATGGTCAAGGAGGTTCTTCGCTGGCGGCCTGTGGCCCCACTTGGAATGTAAGGGGTATGATATCTTGCACGCCATTAGTGCTGACTTTCTGTTCAGCCCTCATCGCACCATAGAGGATGATGTCTACAACGGCTACTTCATACCCAAGGGAACGATTGTCATCGCCAATATCTGGGAGCTCAACCTCGATCCAAAGACCTACGGTCCAGATAGTCGCCAGTTCAACCCCAGCCGCTACCTTGACGAGGAGGGGCAACTCTTGCCAGGTCCTCCTGGAACAAAGGACGAAGGACACTTCTCCTTTGGTGCGTCTCGTAGTATACTCTCTACATTGGACGGCTAATCACTTGATTCTACTAGGGTTTGGTAGACGGTGAGTAAGTTATCTTACCTTCGAATAGTACTTAATCCATGCTAGGGTGTGTGTCGGCAAACACGTCGCCAATCACAGCCTCTTCATCCAGATCGCTATGTCTCTTTGGGCCTTCACTCTGAATAACATCGAGGGTCAGAAGATCGATGTGGACGCTTTTCACGACGAGGGAATTGTTGTGTACGTCCTCTGACAACAGCATACTGAAAATCTCTCTCACTACTCTTTGTAGACGACCAATGCCTTTCGAAGTTGACATCCGGCCTCGGTTCTCCGAGGCGATGGCTATACTATCCGGGGAGTGCGAGCTTCGTGGGCGCTGATGTTTATTGCTACTAGTCTACACAGCTGTTTGATATCGTGACTCTGTACTTCAAACTACCTGATGGCCGAGAATTCTCTATATATCCCATGTAGAATACGCAGCGAGACTCTGAGCACTCGTTTCCAGCGGTGGTGCCCGTGGTGAGAAACGCACGTGACCGCGTATCAGGCGTGGGCCTGCGGGATGGCGGCTGATGCAGATGGTGGGTGGCACTGCAGGCGACTTTCCTTCTTCGCCGCCACCACAAGCGCTGCCAGTCCGCAGTCAACAGAACCCGACATACGCGCGTGTATGGTCACAGCGCGATGGTGTGGCGTCTCCAAAACTCTCAGAGTACGATCGGCAGTCGTGCTGCACGACGCGGCGACTAACGGCCGGTGTTCTCAATCAACGAAGCAAGGTCTACGCTTTCTCGCAGCTCGGTTGTCTGGAGGGTCCATCTACGCGTGGCTTCTAAGTCCGATACCTTGCGCACTGTACTTAATATCCACATCCTGCTGCAACATGTATGTATACCCAAAGAGGCCTGGTTGTGAGAATATATTGACAGATCCGTGGACAGGTGCCCCGGTATTACGCTTCGGCAAGGTAGCTACTTCTACCGTGAAGCGCGCCGATCACCCTGAATGTGGAACTGCATGCAATACCATCGCTCCCCTATCTTCGTCTCTCGTAGCGGATGTGCGATTACGCCATTACAGCACTGTCGCTTCCGGTCGAGATTCGTGCGCTTCGTGTTGTATACACTGGTCAACCCTTTCTGCTTGTCACCCCAGGTGCTTCTGATACCAGAAGCCCCGTGAGGCAAGAATTTACAATGCTTCCTGAACCGTGGCTATTCTAAACCGCCGAATGGCGTCTGAGAGCACGCACACAGCGCCAGAGCTGGTTCCACAGTATGTCAGAAGCTCAACGCGCGCCAAACCCTACGACTGGCGTCCGCGTTCATATAACTGACGCCATCTACGTATCACGAGGATGGGTCGCTTGGGATACCATAAAGGTTGCGAGGTATCCTCATCCGAATGCCTCAACTGCGACCCATACCCACTATCGATAAGAACCGTCGCTATAATGCTCGTCTCATTCCAACCCGCGAAGACTGCTGTCCAGAACTACCCAGTGTTATCTGCTGGGCTTGCCTTTGGTCTGGTTCTCGTCCTTGTGGTCCGCTATCTGACGAGCCCCTGGCGCAAGCTACCTCCTGGACCCCCGGGATACCCTTTACTCGGCAATGCTCTCCAGCTGAAAGACAGACAATGGCTTCTCTTCAGTACATGGCGCAAGACATACGGTATGTTCTCTCATGTCGACTTCCACTTGTTTTACCAAGCTGATGCTCTTGTGAAGGCGACATCATCTATTTGAACGGGGTCGGACAACCGATGGTCATCATCAATAAGCCCGGGGTCGCGACCGACTTGCTCGATCGTCGTGCTGGTACATACGTAGATCGACCTCCAAACATTGTCGGGTGTGAGATCATGACTGGAGGTCTCATGTTTGCGTTCGCTCGCTACAGCGATACGTATGGTGCTCATCTTTTGTGATCCTGGTCGTCGTACTGAATTGGCTCGCAGATGGCGCAGAATGCGGAAAGGAGCCCATGAGGCAGTGAACAAAGTCGTGGCGCACGATCTCAATGAGTACCAGCTATCGGAGGCTCTGGCTCTGGTGAGAAGCGGTCTACTGAACCCTTCGACATGGGACGGATACTTGCGCCGAGCCGCCGCAAGCCTCATGCTCTCGAGCTTATATGGGCAGCGTCCGGTACGTTTGCCCTTCCCCACTCCCTGAACATCCCATTGAGATGGTCACGGTTAGCTCGAAAGTGAGCGGGACCCTCGCGTTCTGTACATCAACGCCTTCAACGAGCATCTTACGCTATCTTTCGCACCCGGCGCACATTGGGTAAGTCTCACCTGCCACCCGCTACCTATCGTCATCCTGAGTATCGCAGGTCGAAATGATGCCCTGGACGCGCCATATCCCTAGTAGGATCGCGGTTTGGAAACGTACGGCTGAGGAATGGCACAGATCTGCAAGCGAGGAGTTTCTCCGACTCTTCGCAGGTGTGCGCGCTGATGTCGTACGGGGTCCCTTTTGAACATGCGTCTGAATGGATATCTGACATGCATGTCAAGGCTAACGGGGAAGATAAGGCTTCGTTCTGCTCTACCCTCCTTCACGAAGCCGACAGATACGGCCTCAACGATCATGAGAACGCTTGGCTTGCGGCCACCATGTAGTGCGTGTCTCCCCTCGGCTCAGTCTACCCATGTACCCTTGATGTCTGTCTGAATGTGGCATGTAGTGCTGCTGGAGCGGATACCACGGCGACATCCATGAGCTAGTGGACATTAGCCATGATAGCCTACCCGACGATCCAGGCTCGAGCGCAGAAAGAGCTGGACACCGTGGTTGGACGCTCTCGTATTCCCACCTATGCGGACATGGCTTACTTGCCATACATCTGTGCGATCGTCAAAGAGATTCTTCGTTGGCGACCCGCGGTACCTCTTGGGCTGTGAGATCTTTTGCGAATGCAGGATCGGTTGCTGGGCTCATGATCTTCACAGCACACATGTTAGTAACGAAGACGACGTCTATGAGGGTTACTTCCTTCCCAAGGGCATATCGGTCATCGCCAATGTATGGGAATTGAATCATGACCCCGAAACGTATGGCCCCGACAGCTACGAGTTCAACCCTGCCCGTTATCTCGACGAGAAAGATCAGCTGATCTCAGGTCCCCCTGGTACGAAGGATGACGGTCACTTCTCTTTTGGTGCAATCTCTCCTCTCATCACCGACTTTCTCTCGCTAATGGGACGCTGTAGGCTTTGGTCGACGGTGAGCATCTAAGCGTCGTGGCTCTCTCACCCCATCTCACCGGCACTCATGTCCGTATAGCGTCTGCATTGGTAAGCACGTCGCGACCAACAGCCTGTTCATCCAGATCGCGATGTCTCTCTGGGCTTCCACCTTGACCAATGTCAAGGATCAGGCTATCGACGTTGACGCCTTTCTTGACGAAGGCCTCATCATGTGAGTACAAACCGATGGCGCAGACATGGAAGTGGGCGATAACTTTGTAGGCGCCCCATGCCCTTCCAGGTCTACATCCAGCCTCGCTTCTCCGAAGCGACTGTGTTGCTTGCTCAAGAGTGCGAGCTTCGCGGTCGTTGATTCGAACTCGAAAGCTGGGTCGAAATACTTTAACTGCGGAGGCCCTGCAGTGGTGCTCTCATCTGTAATCTACCATTGCACGCGCAAGTCGTGTCTGTCCGAAGTATACTTCTACTGTACCATTATGTGATGTACCTGATACACGAGAGATCTGAGAATGGATTCCGGAAGGTCTTTTCATCGAAGTACTGTATACTTCACGGAACATCCGCGTGGCTATAGTCATCCTCATACCATCGTCATTGGCACTCCCATCTAGCCTGTCTCCCTTGTAGTCGCCTCCTTTGCACCAGTTGATCCAGTGCTCACCTCTCAGCGCTATACGAGCGGTCAACGGTACGGCGCCATTGCTGCCACTCCTCCTTCTACTCGTTGACATGTATTGTCCAATGTCCATACGGCTGGCTGCCCCGTAGTGATTCGCATTCCTGATTCCTGAGGTTTGCCAGGGAAAACAAACACGCTCATGAGCCCGCCGATCGTGTTACCTCGAATCATACCGTTACTGACTTCTGAACGTCGATAGCAAGGACGCCAGAGGACGACGCGACGGGCGACGAGCTCTGCAAGTTGATCAGAAAACACACGTGGCCGTGTATCGACGGGGCCGGGCCGTCGCAGACGTTCTTCAAGTTCTCTGCTCCCACCATCATTACATACCGCGTTTGCGAGCCCTTGAAATCGGTTCGCATTTCAGCGCGTGGTAGTGGAGATCAGCGACCCGGGTACCCTGGACGCGCCGTCTGGATATAGTCTGGGCTCGCAGTCTACTAAAGATGTCGAATCGCGCGCGGCGGGAAGCCAAAGCTCACGCGCGCCCGGTCGCTCAATTCACAGTCGTATTCGCGCGATTCCATAGATTGTCATCGCTTACGATAATTGAATAGGTTCAGGTCATGCCACAAGGTACAGGTGTCTTCAATAGATGTCAGCAGGTAACAGAAGCACAGCACATTCGCGGGAAAGTACTGCAGCCCTGCCCTTCGCAAGGGCGGTAGGCCTCTTCAGGCGAGAGGTGTCACGAAACCCTACCACGTATTGCCGGGTAACGTATCATGTTTGGCGCTCATGCTTTTGGACTGGCTGCATAATCGAGCTATTCCGGTGCTGTCTCATCCAGACGGACTCCTTGGTCGTCGTGTACGAGGTGACGACGAGCACAACATCCTTTGCTCGTCGGAGCGTTCTGATACAGTTGGCTCCATTGGCAATGGCTTCTCACTTGACTTTGCGCCATGACAGATCCCCCAGACGCCGAGTGCGTGTGAGTGAACACAACACCGAGTCTAGTCCCCATAGTTCGTGCCGAATGGTCAACCTGCGACAAACCTTACAACGGACTCGCCCCACCTCCATTTGACGCCTTCTTATCACGAGAGCGACTAGTCTATTGCAGCCTAATGCGCGGGACTCGCTCAAATATCCCCTCGGAGTTCCTTCACTTCTATCTTGAAGTTCGCTCATAACCCACACTCGATAATTGTCACTATGTTCCCCTCGCCCACAAGCATGAACTTCACTGTGCAAGATAATCCTGTACTCTGTGTTGGTATTCTCACCTGCTTTTTTCTTGTTCTTGTGGTCCGCTATCTCAGAAGTCCCTGGCGCAAACTCCCGCCGGGGCCTCCGGGGTACCCCGTCCTCGGTAACGCTCTTCAACTGAAAGACAAGCAATGGCTCTTGTTCAGCTCATGGCGCAAGACATACGGTGCACCATTCAGCTCCTCTTGATATCCTAAAGCTGATGCTGACGAATCGGTCGTAGGTGATATCATATACTTGAACGCCGCGGGGCAGCCGGCGGTTATCATCAACAAGCCCAGCATCGCATCAGAATTGCTTGACCGCCGTGCCGGCATATACTCTGACCGACCACCAAACATTGTTGGCTGCGAGATCATGACGGGCGGCCTTCTCTTCGCCTTCGCAAGCTACAGTGATACGTATGTCGATGGATTGTCCCTCTTTCCCCATTCATCGTGCTAATGTGTGACGTAGCTGGCGTCGAATGCGCAAGGGAGCGCACGAGTCCGTGAACAAGGTCGTGGTGCACGACCTTGACGAGTACCAGCTCTCGGAGGCCCTGGGCCTGGCAAGGAGCGGCGTGCAAGATCCTACGGCCTGGGATGGATATCTGCGCCGGGCTGCTGCAAGCCTTATGCTTTCGAGCCTGTACGGAGAGCGCCCGGTAAGCCTTTCATCCCCTGCGTCTTGACCATCTTTACTCATGATATCAGCTTGAAAGCGAGCGAGATCCCCGTGTGGTATATATCAACGCCCTTAACGAACAACTCTCCAACTCTTTCGCGCCCGGTGCCTATTGGGTACGTGAAGTTCTTGCTACCATTATATTACCAGTGCGCTGAGTAGCTCAGGTCGAGATGATGCCCTGGATGCGCCACATTCCCAGTAGGTTTGCGGCGTGGAGACGCACGGCTGAGGAATGGAACAGGACTGCGAGTAACGAGTTTCTCCGGCTGTTCGGGCGCGTGCGAGACAATATCGTGAGAATCCACTTTCCTCAGCATCATACACCAGCGCCCTGACATGTTTCAAAGCTGAATGGGCAGGGCAAGACCTCATTCTGCTCCACTCTTCTTGACGAGGCCGACCGGTATGGTCTTAACGATCAGGAGAAGGCGTGGCTTGCGGCCACCCTGTAGTACGTTATTCTCTTTGGCTTAGTTCATCGCATGCCCCTTGATGCCTGATGCAGCGCAGCAGGCGCGGATACGACTGCTACGGCCATGAGCTGGTGGACACTGGCGATGTTGGCTTATCCGGATGTGCAAGTACGAGCACAACAAGAGCTAGACGCGGTAGTGGGACGCTCTCGCGTGCCCACCTTCGCGGATATGCCTCATCTGCCGTACATCTGCGCTATAGTTAAGGAAATTCTCCGCTGGCGTCCAGCTGTACCTCTCGGGCTGTAAGATCTATCCCCTCGTCACTGCATCACCGAGCTGATGATATCACAAGTGCACACCGGAGCAGCGCGGATGATGTTTATGACGGGTACTTCATCCCGAAGGGGACGATGATCATTGCCAATGTGTGGGAGCTAAACCGTGATCCTGAGACTTACGGTCCCGATAGCTACCAGTTTAACCCTGCACGCTATTTGGACGAGAAGGGTAGACTGATCTCGGGCCCACCGGGTACGAAGGAAGATGGTCATTTTGCTTTTGGTACGCTCTTCCACCTGACGCCATCGTGTTCTTTCACTGATGGCATACAGGCTTTGGAAGACGGTGAGAATATGGGCGCTGTTGGCACGCCGTCGGGACTCATACCTGTATAGCGTTTGTCTCGGCAAACACGTTGCGACCAATAGTATGTTCGCCCAGATCGCGACGTGTCTTTGGGCATCTACCTTGTCCAACGTCCAGAATCAGACTATCGATGTGAACGCATTCCTCGACGAGGGCATCATCGCGTAAGTCATTGTCGATGGCACAGATCTTAAGGTGGCTGACAGCTTCGCAGTCGCCCCATGCCTTTCCAGGTCGACATTCAGCCTCGCTTCCCTGAAGCGACCGTGCTGCTCGCTCAAGAATGCGAGCTCCGCGGCCGTTGAGTATGAGGTCACTTCGAGATACGCAGCATGTTCCCATTCATACACGTCCATTGCGCACACAGATATCACGATCGGAAGGGTATTCATAGTGTATGATTAGGAGATGTATGTATATTATACACGAGCAATACGAGTGGATATCCAGGAGCCCTGTCGTTGACTTCACTGTGTACTTCATAGCGCATAGTTGTAGTCATCGTCCTCACCAGCGTCACTGGCACTACCAGCATCAGATGTATCCGAACCAGCCGGCCTTTCCTTATAGTCTCCTCCCGCACACCAATTGCCCCAACGCCCTACCCTCGCAGCGTTGTATGTGCGGTCATTGATACCGCGCCACTCCTCCTTCCACTCCTTGACATGCATATTCCACACGACACTACGAAGCGATTCGCGGTCCTGAATGGCCGAGAAGACGAACTCGCTCATGAACCCGCCGACCATGGTACCGCGAATCTTGCCGTTGCCGAGGAACGTGAGCGTGCCCTTGTTCTCCTCCCCGAACTCCATCTGGCCCTCGCCTTGCTCGTGGCCACGCCACTTGAAAGCGACTGTGGCGCCTACAGTGGTAGGAGGTGCACCGGCGCGGATGATGCCCTTTACGATGCCGAAGTCGAAGCTTCCCCATAGATGTTTGCCGGTACCACGGGAGGGCGAGAGCATCAGGGTAAGGTCTCCGGACGCGTCGTCCCATTGCTCCGCGAGATAGGGAGCCTTGACGGCAAATTCTCCTCGAACTTCCAGATCTGAGAGCTACAAGAGCGTGTGAGCTATACATATCAAGGCTATGGCTGTTGAGGCGAGCGCACCTTGCCACTACCGCTCCCGCTCGTCTTCGTCTTCTTCTGGGTCGCGTTTCCGTCGTCCGTGGCCTTGCGTTTACGCGAAGTTGCCGCCTTGGGAGTAGGCGCAGCGCTCTTCTCGAACTCGGCCAGTATCTCCTCATGTCTCCGCCTGTCTTCGACACGCTTCTTCTCCTCCGCCTCTTCCCTCTCCCTCTCTTCTTGCTCGTACCGAGCGCGAGCCTTCTTGTCCTCGTCTTGCCACAGCTTCCGAAGCTCCTTCTCCAACGCCAGGATTTTTTCGGGAACCTGAAGGCTCTTCCCCCCTTTAAACGCGTCGAGGAGCGTCTTCTTCGTCTCCTCCTTCGTCTTCTTGGGCTTCAGTCCATAATGGAGCGCTTGAGCTGTATAGTATGCCACCGATTCGTCCCAGTGCGGAGGCGGTTGCCGCTTGCGTGGAGCGCCCTTCTTCGTGAGAGCAGGTCCTTTGTCCACCCAAGTGAGCAGCTCGTACAGCTTGGATGGCTCCGCGCGTATGTAGCGTTCACGGTCTTGCATTACGTAGAAACCGGTATGGTAGTTGTAGAAGAATATATCATCACGAGTGACTGGGCCGGCATAGCTGCTCATTTCCCACATCGTGGTAGCAGGGAAGGATCAGCAAGTGTGCGAGGTCGTGGAGGAAGGTGCTAAGGGATGTGTGGTTGGGTTTCACGTTATGAACCAACGACGCGTGATGGCGTAGGAGAAAGAACCCACGTGGCCGCGTAGCGGCTAATGGCTCTTTCTCTGCCCAGTGTCAATACACGTACTGCGTATATTGTGACAGTACATCGGGCACGTGTATCTTGCGTCCACAATCTCCCTGACAGGAGACTCGGTTTGAACAACGTAATCTGCGAACCAGATCCATGACAACGCCTGTACTTGGCGTGTGGGAATCTCGTTTATGGGAAGCGTCCAGTTCAACCGAACATTGACGCGTCAGATCGTTCCGACGCCACAAGCCGAAACGAGTAGATGCTGTGCAGTCACGAACGGCAATGGATCGTACTACAACGCAATACGTAGAATGGTCACGAAGGATGTTTCCGAGCTCGAACATGGTGGTCTAGAGCAAGTGGCAACGCCCACAGATCCGCGGTCAGAAGAGACGCATGCGCAGCAGCGTCGAGCTCTCACCTCTTCTTGAATGCGACGACGACGACCTCTTGCTTTGCTCCTGCTGAGATGACAGACTACATGACTGGGCGACCTGTGGTGCACGAGTCGCTGCAGGCATCTTCGCCTCTCGCGACCCTTGTCCGCCAAACATCCACCCGTCGCACTGGCAAATCTAGTCCCGGGCGGGAGCAAAGACACGGAAACTATGAAGCCCAACCTGAACCTCTTGCTATAACTGTGACTCCTGAGATGGACTATGGCTCACCTGAGCGTGGCGAAGAGCGAAGGAAAATGGGCCGTCCGCCGTCGAGTCCATTGCTGCATACGCGCTTCCGAGCAAGCACCGGCACCCAGCACTCATTCAACACGCTCGCGATGCCGTCCCAAGACAATTCTTTCGGATACGGACAGGACGTATACTATGACGAAGACTCCAGCATCTACATGCCCGATTATCCTAGCCCACGTGGATTCGCTGGCGAAGGCGGCAAGCATGATTCTCTAGATGGTATGTTGGTTTCCAAATCGGGACATCAATGCGCGAGCGCTAACAATGCCGCGGAAAGTGCCGGACTACAAGTATCGCCCACGAAGATCGAGCGAACTCGACCCCTTCGTGCACTCCTCGTCGCCATCATCACCTGTCACGCCGCCCAGTGCTGTACCTCAAGTCCGCGTCGATCCTCCAGAACAATACGCGTACCCATCAGCTTCGACGCCATCATCATCATCCACCGCATATCCTCCAGTACCTGCTTCGGCGCCTGCGACTGTGCCCGCCGGCCGAGTGCCAAGCGCCACAGGCTCGATCAACTATAGCCGCCCGCATAGGCCAAGCGTAGAGGGGACCGAAGACGCCAAGCGCCGCGTCCTCGAACGCAACGCGCAACGCCGAAATGCACCACACTCGGCCGCCACATCAATGTACTCCCAATCCAACTCGATGTACAGTCAATCGCGCGACGCCATCTCGAGCGCCTACTCTGTCGTCAGCGCGCCCGGTACCCCATACAACCATAACCGCGGACAAGAGTCTAGAGCTGTGCCCACTCGCAGCGATAGTGACCCCGCGGGACTAAACACTGCCCCGCCTGCGCGCTCGCGTTCAAATTCACCGCTTCATCCCGACGCTAGTACAAGTACCCGACCGTCTGGTCCCTCGCGTCCACCAAGACCACCAACACTCGACATACCAGATCCCGTCATGCTCTCTGCTTCTGGACCATCTACCCATCAATCGGCGGATAGCGGCACGCCTGTTAGCGTGTACAGCAACTATTCGTACTATCCGTTCGAGAGTGCTGCTCCTTCTCCCGTCGGCGCTACGCTACAGGTGCCAGGCACGGCACCGGCGATGTATCGATCACATTCTTCACCCCAACTGGGCTCTTCCTCACCTTCCGCCTCTGGTTCCGGCGCACCATCCTCATCTTCTGCACGCCCATCTACATCCACCTCCCGCGTACCTTCGCCTTCCTCAGGACCGCGCACAGCAGACGACTACCTCCAACTTGGCATCACACATCACGAAGCCAACCGCCTAGAAGAATCAGCCCGATGTTTCGAGCAATCCGCGCGTCTATCCGTGAACTCCCCAAATTCCGAAACGAGCGGCGTCGGCATGCTCATGTACGGCTTGACACTGCGACACGGATGGGGATGTCCGCAAGACGAGAAGGCTGGATTCGCGTGGTTGAGGAGAGCGGCGGAGGCGGCTGTGGGCGATTTGGAGAGGTTTAGGAGGGAGATGCCTGGGCCGTCCGCACCTGGTGCGGGAGGGAAAGGAGGGAAGAACGATGAGGCGGTTAAGGTTGAACTTATCCTTGCGATCTATGAGGTTGGGCAGTGCTTCGTTCATGGGTGGGGCGTGAAGAAGGACCCAAAGATGGGCGTGGTACGCGCTTTCTCCGCTTTGCTTGCGTTCTCAGCGGATGATTGACTGTACCTCTGCAGAGCTACTTTCGCGTCGCGGCGAACCTTGGCGACGCCGATGCACAGCAGGAGCTGGCGTTCTGTCTTGCCAATGGTCGCGGATGCAAGAAGGACAGGAAGGAGGCCGCACATTGGTATCGAGAGGCGGTGTGTGCTCGTTCATTGATCTGCACAGATTATCAACTAATCAAGGTGCAGGTCAAACAGGGGGCGAGCGATGTTGGGCTCGCTTGGATCTATAAGGAGAAGTTCCAGTAACCACTGTCACACATCTCTTCTTCAGCCTCACAATCTTCGCTCTTCGATTCAGATCATCTCTCTCTTCACATAGTTCACAGTGCATCAGGTTAGCTTGGACGATTAGATGGACTCTTGGGATTCTCAATGTACTATAGTCTTGACGGCATACCCCTTTCCTTTCCTTGGTGTATATAGCACTGATTCCGCCTTTCATGCCAATTCTTTCTCAGGTATATTGCATATCTGGTCCGTAACGCACCTTGCATACTTCAGTCATATTCATCGCTCCATGCCGTGAAACCTTTCTCCAGTCATCGTACGCGCTAGTTGACTAACAGTGGAGTCGGCAGAACAAGAAATAGATCGCAGAACACCGGAGAGGCGCTACCTGAGCCCTTCTCCCTCCAATCAGCACCATCCTCCGCACTCTCGGAGAGGCTCTCCGCATGAGGTACAGATATGCCTCAGCACAGCGAAGGCCGTATCGTCGAAGACATCGTCGAATCATAATGTACCCATGCCCTTCTCCTCTTCCTCGTTGAATCTAGCCAACAGCACCTCTTGCGACGTGTCTTCGTCGTGTTCCGTCTCCGTTCCGTTTGCCGGAACGAATTGATGGCCTACAACCTTCACTGGGAACAATCCTGCTTCTCGCCGCGCTTGGGTGGTATCCGTTTTATGCTTGCGTAGACGCGATACCACGGCGGAGTTGTTGAGGGTCATGAGGCTCAGCAGCTTGACGTCGTCGAGCGGTGCACCGTCCTCGGATACCTCAGTTGAGCCCAATATGTAGGCTGCGAGCGCCGTCAAGATCACAGCCAAGGCGGTTCCGAGGAGCAGCAGGGGAACACGGAACTATGCGAATGTCAGCTGGGGCAAGCGCAAAGCGCAAAGGTACAACTGACGTCGACACGCCCGACAAGCCAATGGTAGTTGACAGTCACGTTGCTAAGAGTAGTCTGGACAGTACGACTCGTGATGGGGGGCTGCTTCTTGGTTAGAGCAGATGCTAGGCATTAGTAAGGCGTTGGCTCTTACCTGAGTCGTATATGTCGTGAGTGTGTTATCGACTGCCCCAGCGGACCACACCATCAAAGCGGTGGCGCTTGCGAGAGCATCTTCGAGCCATCCCAAAGGGATAATGGAGTTGGGGCCATCACCACCGAATGTTCCCATGGTAACTGTAAACCGTCAGACTTCGCGAGCGGCACAAAGTGAAACCGAACTCACGATAGGATTCCATGATTGTGGGAACATGGCAATACTCAGACATGCCCTGCAGATCTCCGGAACTTATCGTAGAGTTGCTGCCCATCGGAACCAAGTTAAGACAAGACCACTGCGCGTTGTCCGGAGGGTTGAGCTGATCGCGCCAAAGAGGGACTGAATTGCCGGTAAGAAACATGGAGGCCCACATATCTTCCAAGCTGCAAGGGTGGGCTTAGTATACACCAAGTCCTGAGATCGACATCACGAAACACGACGTACGCAGTTGAGCTGTTGAGGTCTGGACTCCATTCTCCCCATACGCTGGTGCTGGCGTTGTATGGCGCATAATAGTCTTGATCGATTAGTCGATTCCTGGTGACATCCAGTACAGCTGTTCCGTTCGTCGTTGACAACGAACATCCAATGACTTGTACGATCAACCCAGTGGGAAGTGTAGTGCCGTCGCGTAGTTGCACGTTGAGTGGCCACAGCGACCCCTTATTGCCGTCAGCGTCGACGATAGGACGACTGCCATATGATCGGTCGGCGTCATCATAGATGTTGTAGAGAACCACATTTCGCCCCATATCCGCCATGATAGGGCTACTCGGAACACGTATCAGAATGTCTGTGGCTGACGTTAGAAGTCTGAGATCGCCATGAACGAGGTTTACCTACCAGAGGGCTGCCATAGGCCATGGATCGTAGTAGAGGCGTTAGAGGTTGAGATGTTCATGCTGTCGAAGAGGCTCAACGAGTAAGGGCCGAGAGTGTAGTTGATCGCAAGGGCGGTGGGCAATCCATCGACGGACGTAGGACTGGTTTGCGAGGCTGGGCTATCTAGAGCGAACGCAGCAATCGATATGCCCGGTACACTCCCGCACTTGGCATGGAAGTCAGTATAACTGACATTGGCGTGTCCCGTGTAATAAGGGTCCAAGAGCTCGGTAACACCGTCGAAAATGCGGCTGCGGTTCGGGTCCATGCCGGGCAGAGACTCCTCATTCACGTAAAAACGACTCTGAAGGGCCATACTGGCCATGTACCAATCAAAGCGTATACTAGAGAAGTTCGAGGGAGTGTTGGATATGCTGGGGGGAAGAAGAGCTTCCACAGGGACACTCCCTAACGTCAACACAGTTGTTGCGGTGTACTGGCTGTCGGTGCCGTTGATCGTTGGGAAGACAAAGAGGTAGGAAGAAGTTAGGCCCAGCCCGGATAGTGCAGCGAAATAGGACGTAATGAGAAAGACTTGTGATAGGGCCGCTGGCCGTCGGATGTTATGGTAGAGGTTGACCAAAGCGGAGCCTAAGCTATTCCAGGCGACCATCTTGTCGGACAGCATGGTAAGGGACTGGGGTAAGTCACGGAATGCCGCGTGCGTTGCCACTCGTTGCATGGTGGCTGTGATAGATATCGAGAAAACGAGCATGATGAACTGGGGATGAGGTTAGGGAGAGATGATAGCTACACCTAGCTGTTGCACACTCTACGCACATGGCTAACGATGTTAAGACCTTGAAAGAAGACAGAGTAATCCAGCGATATCTCCCATCTGCGTTCGACCCGTTGAGACCAGATGACACAGAGAGCGATATAAATCGCTAGGACGCCAAGATGCAGGAGCATTGGCAAACTGCAGAGACTCCTCATGATGAAACGCCGCTTGCGCGGTATTCGCCCTGATAGAAGCCATAGTCATTGATCAATTGGTGAGCGAACCCAGAAGTAACTCAAGAACTAACGCGGCGTGATGGTCTCTCCATTCGGGGTATACGGCAGTTCGAAGCCTTGCTCGTGGACAGTGCTATGTGTAGGCATAAGTGCCGATGAAAATATTCACAAGCTCATGAGCGACTCACGGCGACGAGCCAGTACCTGGGCTACTTCGTGAGACGTCGGTGCCCTTGCTACCAAGAGACATGACTGCGAGGGCGAGGGAGGACTTGGAAGAGGTGTAGGGAGTCGCATCACGGCGGTCATGCGCCTGTGGTCTTATGTGTGCGAGCGAGTGCATAAGGTGGAAGTCTCTAGTGGACAGTAGGGCCGTCTGGTTCCGTGAGGGACCGATTTGCTACACAGCCGCCGCACATACAGGGCTTGTGCCACGAGTGGTATAGCGCAGAGTGAACCTTGAAACACTCGGAGGTGACAGCTGCTTCAAGCTCAGCTTCGAACGCCGATGCCAAGAACAAACGCCACATACAGTGAAGTGTAGGAATTGCCATGCGTAAACCTGCTGTCGTCAGGCAAATGAGGCGCGTGTGATCATGCTATTCAGCAATCGGTGTAATCTACGAGGTACGAGAAACCCCAGACGTGACTTCCTGTGAGAGATTGTTCGGGAGAAGCATGGACAGCCTGCCAGTATGGTCAATAGCTGAAGTTACACGCATATGGTCTGCGGACTCTATGTAGAGAGTTCACCAACATGAAGCTGTTGGCGTTTCATAGTAACCCCGTCTGATTGTGAGAAAACATCACGGCGTTCCCGATTGGCTCAGATAATTGGCAGCTAGTCGTGCGGGCTGTCGATTTGAGCGTTGAACATACCGACAGGACGTCTTGCCATGGAGAGCATAGCGAACGAGCCAACCTAATTGCGCGCAGTGAGGTGAGCACCAAAGCCAAGCCGGGAGGTAATTGATACTTACCATAAGAGGTGCCCCTAGGCAAAGTACTACCCTGACTGTATACAGGAAGGTGAGCGACGCGTGGTTGCGAAGTTATGGGCATCAAATCGGTGCAATGCCCGACAGACTGATGTGCGAAACACTGCACTGGTTCCTTACATCGGGTCTAATGATGTCGGAGACAGGTCGCATCACTATGTAAAGTTTGCATAGGATACAGATCCAGCGCGGACTTCGGATGTGCACCCCGGGAAGCACGGATGAAGAGTTGGCGCGAGATTGTATAGCTTGCGTAGGTTCATGAGATTGGCATGCCTAAACCGTTCGTAGATTGCTTCAAGGTAGCGATAAGGTAAGGCGTAACACCTCTACGCCTTGATCATCAAGAGGGATTGCCTCCGCAGGGGTATGCGACAGCACTCAGCAACGGAGAGAGACGGATGCCGAAGGCGTTCCTAGACGCGGCGGAGGACCCTTGACAATGAGGTGCACAAAGATAGCACGAGGCTAGGTACACGAGGCGCAGATTCGCAGCAGTTGGCAGAACCTTTGTTTATCAGGATATCCATAAAGGTATCGTCAACAGCCCATCCGAAGACGCCGAGTACGCCGGTCGATAGGCGTAGGGAGACGGCGACAAGGAATTAGCGACCGGCAAGGTCTGAGTTATCGCCTGCATATGGTGTTGGGCTCTGATCCGGCAGGCGCGAAATCGTGTCGTCCTCGAAATCTCCTCCATAGATCCTCAACCTCCCCGCGATGCCCTCGCTCGCTCGCGCATCTCGCTGTGCTGGCGCCATGCCGAACACCGTCTCCTCCACCGGCTCCGTCTCGCCGTCCTCGTCCCCAAAGGAGTCATCGCCGAAGCTGCCATCCATAATGCCGCCTCCAAAAGGATGCACACCCCCGCCCACTGCCATCATACCAGAAGTATCGCCGCCTCCGTCCCCACCATCAAAGCTATCTTCCGAGTCACCGCTATCGTCCAGATGGCTTGATGCACTGCCCGACGCGAACACGAACGCCGCCGACGGGTTTGTCGCTGTATGGTTATCATCGGCCTCGAACGAATCGTCGAAAGACGAATCTACGTCCTGTGGCGCGGATGATGGGTCGGCTGCGGCGCTTTGCACGCGCCGCATCAAGCTCTCCAGAGTTGAATTGATCGACGAGCTCATCCCGCTCTCTTGTGGCTGTTCCTGCCATCGGGGCGGCGTCGGTAGGCTACTGAATGTGCTCGAAGTAGTCTCCTCATGTCCGTAAGTGCGCCCGGCGGCCTGTTCGAGCAGATCACGTCCGATCCGCGAAGCGGCTGCCTTCGCGGGAGACCGCGAGACGGTTACAGCTTTGGGTATGGGCACATCCATAGACGAGCCGAATGACGAGGAGATCTGACTCCCGCCACCGTACTTCTTTCTAAGGTTGGCGACGAATGACATGTCGTCCTCGTCTTCTCCCTCATCGGATTGCGGCGGCGGCGGCGGCGCACGTCCGCGTGCTGGAGAACGGATGACGCTGATATCTCGCAGATCTACGACGCCCGACCAGTTCCTCGGATCTGATCCTTCGGGAAGGTAGGGGTTGTGTGCGGCAGATACGCGACGTGAAGCGGTAGTGCGTAGCACATTCTCGCGAAGACTGCGCGAACGACCTTTACTCTTGCTACGGGAGCGCGAACGAGAGGGTGAAGGGGAACGAGAGGGTGAAGGGGAACGAGAGGGTGGGAGGAAGTGTGCCTGCGGAGTCGGTTCGTCGTCGAGAATAGAATCCTCGCTATCCGTGGATGGTACCTCCAGCTGAGATCGCTGCCCAGAAGTAGATGCGGGCAAGAACACCGGGCGTCCGGGTGTCTCGTCGTCGATAGAGAAGGCGCGAATGTCGCGACTGAGTTTCTCCAGCGTAGGAGATTGAGTGACTCGTGAAGAAGATGCGTCCGTGGAGAAGGAATCTTGTGGGTTCTCCATGCGGTAACGAGTGGTCGTCGCGGGTGTTGACGAGATAGCGTTGGAACCAGGCATGAAAGAGCTTTCCGAGGGTGTTCGATCGGGATCAAAGGTCGTGTTACGAGTTGGATCCGCTGACGGAGACGGGTGAATAGACTTTGAGACGTCAGAAGGACCAGCGTCGCGGATAGTTTGGTCTGCTACGCTCTCTTCGGCTTCGACCACAGGCTCCTCGGACTCTTCGGCGTAAGAGTAATCATCTCTAGGCAAGTTGACTTGTGCCGCAGCTTCGAAGAATGCTGTCCATGACTTATTGCGTAGTTAGTGAGGAATTTATTTCTCATAACACCGAGGGTCGTACCTTCGCCGCGTCTCGCACAGGCTCAGTAGCCAGTGCAAACCGCTTGAAAGTTGGAAGGAGACGCGTCAATAGAAGATGGTGAGCATGGGCAATATTCGCATCAATGTTCTAAGGCGATATAAGATGCTGTTCGATGCATGTTGACGAGATCGACGTACTTGAAGCTTCAAGGTCTTCATATGCTCAATCTGATCGTTCTGGTCATTGATCGACGCATTCGTATCCAGCCCAGGTATCTGTATATCCGCCGGGTTCGGTGATGGCTCCCATCTCTGTTGCAGAGGCTCAATAGGTTTGAGCTCGCGGACGGGCTTTTTGGACATGATGGATGCGGAAGACAGGACGCGACTGTGACAGACGCGTCGACGGCATCAACGCGTCGCGCCGCGCGGGCCCCGGTCGGACTTAGCGGTTCTCGATGCTCTTCGACATCGCAGATGCCTTAGCTCAAGGGTCTATCTGGTCGTAGCGAGTGCTGCGTGGAGACTGACATCCTCTGAGTTGAGAGGCTGCGGGAGCTTGGTAGTGTTGACCATGGGTGACATGTGACCTGTGATGAGTGACCGGCGCTCTGTCACTCTGCGGGAACTGCCACCACTTGCTCTTGCCCTTGACCTCCATGGTCCACCACGGAGACTCCTGCACCTCCAACCCATTGAATTTAACTTTGTGCTCTAACTTTTAGGATGACGCATTCTTTGATATTCATATTAGTTCGCCGTAGGGGGATCGCCGCTGGGTAACCTCCACTGAAGCCTCAAGAATTAAGATATTGCTCGGACTTCGCGCTCCTGAATTCACACCTTCGTTCTTCCCTGGATTGGGATGTCTCAGGCAGCTCAACCGGTACTAGGGGCTGTATCCCTACTTGTTTACCATAGTCAAGAAACCGGACTTGGGTAAACGAGGGATGGCCGGCGTTTGCTATTCAAGGTCTTTGCTTGTCAGAGCTGCTTCTTCCCAGCCACGTGCGAGTATTACATTCGCATGATACGGCCGCCCGAGGCAGATTCCCATGGTGGAACATCGCAAACCCGAACAGCGCTCTCCTCTTGCGACGACGATCTCCCGGTTACACGACACACGACATGCCAAAGGCCCAGCAACCTTCACTCCCAAACTACATCGACTCCGTCACCCGGGACAGCAAGTTCTTCTACAGCAACGCCATCGGCTTATACGTAGAAGTTGACGGACATCGCTACCCGCGCGATTCGGTCCGCGAGTTGCAATACCTTGTGACGCGTGGCCCAGGACTGGGGAAAGAAGATAAACCGGCGGCGTATTATACGGCGCAGCTTGCTCATTATGGTCTGAGGCCGAGGAAGACCAAGGAAGGCATGAAGAAGGCCCTTCTTGCTACTCTTCAAAAGCCGCCTGGCACCTTCTTTGAACGACCGAAGCGTCTAGACAACGTCGAAGTGGACTTGAAATGCATGTGGAAGGTGAAGAACCGGGAGGAGCATCTTCGTCGCCAACAAGAGATGAGCAAGTCGAGTGGCTCGTCGCGTAAGAGGAAGGCTGAGGCGGAGACTGGTGCTGGTGCTCAAGCGAAGAAAGCCAAGGTCCCGAAAGGGGAAGACAAGGTGTGTTTAGATCTATCTTATCGTTTCATGATTCGGAAGCTCAACGTATGATAGCTGAGCCATAAAGATGTCGAGGGCAAGTTCATAGTCGACGCACCCAAACTCGTCGCCGAGTGCAGTGGGCCCCATACGCGCGCCTTCGAGGTCACCCTTGCGCATTCCCCCGGTAACCGGCGGCATCTATGGGGCAATTTCGACTTTGGCGTCATTAGCGGTATCATCCGCGGTGGCATGCCTCCGCGAGACGTCGGTGATACCGTCACCTTCCTTTGGCGCGGACGTGAACAGGGAGAAGACCAGATGACCTACGGACCCAACAATACTGGCACGCTCACGTTCCTCGGAGACGGCAAGATCCGCGGCAACATGACGGGAGGCTTCATCGGCAAAGTGGACTTCTCATGTGCGCCGAACCCTGCTTACGCACGTCGCGCTATCATATGGTCCAAGTCCGTCAAGAGCTGGAAGGAGCGGTGGCGAGGCATGAACCAGCGCGCGCATGACGCCGAAAATGCCTCACGTTGGGGCAAATGGCAACCGGGCCAAGACTACAAGGAGAAAGGCGCTGATTCGGATACAACCATTGCCGGGGAGGACGAGGAGGATGAGGACGAGAATGACGAAGAACAGGCTTGAGTACACCCGTACTATGATGCTGTGAATGCATCGATCGTGGTAACCTGTCTATCAGTGACTTACGATAGGCAGGGTGCTCAGTAGTCGTCGCCGCCTTCAATAGGCGCTTGACATACGAGCAAGTGGCCGTTATTTTGTTTAAGTGCTACCTAGTCCTCCATTCCATCAAGTGCTGAGTGTCGATGGCATGGTAACTGGACATCATATACTGTCATTTGCTTGCGGCCAAACAAAGACCTGTAAGCCTATGGAGGGTAATCAGACTTATAGAATGTCATGCCTTGCTATGTACCATTAGAATGCGTGAGGGAATATTCGTTACATGTGTTTAGTATACCGTCAGTAATGTGCCGCGAGGGCTCCCAATGAAACCCGGAGGCCATGAGCGTCTAATATCCGTCGTGCCCGAAATGTCCCCTCTCCCCTGCAACGCCCAGCGCCGCCGAAACCAGTCACCACGCGATCCACTCCCCATACATGTTCGGGCGCTCTCCCCGGATGTACGCCTCGAAGGTACGCTTGAGCACCGTGGCCCAAGTCAAGTCTCGTCGGTCCTCTTCGACGTTATCTGAAGGTAGCTCCAGAGACGTCAGCCCGCGCGCTCGTCTTTCGCCATCGATGAAACGTGCGCCCAGGTCTGGCCAGTTGCGTGCAGGGTCGAAGGGTTCCCACCTAATGGTCACAGTTAGCAGACATAACACAACATAAAGCGATACGTGACGTACCAAAAGTTGTGGTAGTGATAGGAGTACGCTCCGCGGAAGAAGCCGTCGAAGCCAAGAATGCGCGGTAATGCACCATTCTGTGGAGGCGTCTTGAAGAACTCCTTGAACCTGGTTCTTGGTCAGTCGTGCACTCAAGAGGCATCATGAAGATCACTCACTCTGTGAAGTACGGCTGTGGCGGCCGATCGCGCTGATAATCCTCCGTATTCAACCACGCCGGATCGAACAACGCATCCGGCAGCCTCAAGAGCAGCCCATCCAGCGACGCATCCTGTATGTACTGGTGCACCGACATCGGATGGAAGTCCAGTCCGTTCCTAAGCGCCGTGCGTATGATAAAGGTCCCAAGCGCCGACCGCCGATTCATGCGCAACACAGCAGTGTTATACGTCGGGATCCTCGACCACCTGTACGCGAACGCGCCCTTCCATCCCCACAGCTCCTCCCAGTCCCGCAGCAAGATCGTATCCGTGTCGAGGTATATCCCGCCATAGCGATGACAAAGTATAAACCTCGCCATATCCGACAAGATAACCGACATCCGATCATACGAGTTCGCTGACTTCGAGCCGAGACGACGTAGCATGTCGTCACCTCCTTGCTGTATGAGTGCTTCGCCTGGGTTGAGTTTGGGTACGTTCACGACTTTGCCTTGCGAGCGGAAGAGCGGGATCGTGCGCCATTCGTCTGCGAGCTCTGGCGTGGCGTCGAGTTGTTCGGTTGTGTTCCATAGGCGGAAGTGGATGATGTCTTTGAAGCGCGGATGAAGGAAGGGCGAGGACCATTCGCCCTCGGCGAGGTTCTTCATCATGGCGCGCTCGGCACCGGAGTTGGGCACGGAGGCCGCGGGGCCGGGGTTGATCCATAACCAGAGTTGCGGGCGGCAGATCTTGACGTCCGACAAGCCCTCTTGAATGTTCAGATGGAGATTCTGGGTGAACAAGAACGAGAGGATCGCGGTGTAGGGCTTGTCCGTGAATGGACCGGTCCAGAACATGTGGAAGATATGAGGACTGTCGGGGTCGCATTCTGAATGCAATGGTCGGTGCTCGTGCGGTGTATACGAGTGTGGTGGAGGGAGTGCCAGAGGTGCCTCGCGCTCCAGGCCGTTCCTTAGCGGAAAGTCGTGTTTTGCGTCTCCTCGTGCGACGTTGGTCTCTAGGCCGGTCTCTGGCTTCCTCTGCACGCTGCCAGTTTCGGTGTATAAGTATCTCCACCGATCGATGTTGCCTCTTCGTAGATGATTATCGCTGTCAAGGCCTGCGCCAACTTGCAAGACCTCAAGACAGTCGCGCACATACTATTCATGACCTTGTGAGTGACCACAATCAGACTGATAGTTAGAAGAGGCTTGCCTTTTGTTGCGAGAAGTCACAATGATTCATAACAATGTCCAGATCTGCGATGCTGCCAGTCGGGGGTCTTGGTGGATACGCCACATCGGGAGGTGTGGCGCGCAACTCGGGATAGATGCGTTGAGGGCCATGATCGTTACGCCGTAGAGCTGGCCGGTCATGCGAGCTATTCCTGCGGTGTGACGGTCCTGCGGGCACGGCAGGGTTCGGAGGTTGTGAGATAAAGCCTATGCGCTTCGGTACTGCGGAACACGTCAAATTAAGCGCCGAACATGAACGGAATCCGCCACGCACTGTCGCGCCTGCTTGGATAGTGACCGCTCGTGATCTCCCAAGTCCATATCTTTTGTAAATCCTCGCGGTCATAGACGAGCGTCGGAGTCGTCTCCTTGAAAGACCGGAATGTCCTGAGCGAGAAGCGGAGGAGGAACCAGCCAACAGCGAGCGCGATGACGACGTAGACGAGCTTCGAGTACCGTCGCAAGACATAAGGCGCCGGGATACGCAGACGCCGGCGGTTCGTGCCAGGAATGGGAGCCGACAGGAGCGTCCATGACCTGTATCTGCCCTCCCGCTGCTTCTCCTCTACCGCGCCCGGCCAGTAATGGTTTGGCAAAGATTGGCGCTGCCGGACATTGCGACCGGCGAATATGCGCATCTACCAGGCTAGTGCGGCTGCGTGTCTACCGGTGCCCCGAGGTCGTTAGCTGTCCGTGCGACGGGCGGCAGGCAGGACAGGAGGATGGTGGGTCGTGCCAGGATGTAAGTATGTGTCCGAAGCCAAGAGAGTCCGAGTCCGTGCCGCCGAAGTGGCGGCCAGGACCTGCCCGCCGTCGTGAGAGCCGCCGGGATGATCGGCCGTGTTATATTTTTCGCATGGATATTTGATATGGAATGAACGGGCTGAACGGCGCGAGGGTTGGGCCCTAGTTAACTATTTCAGTGTGGTATCGGTACATGCTGCAGACGGGACCCTATACAGTAAGAAATGATAGCAAAGCATGTAAGCATGAGAAATGTACGATAGATGACAGGTATATACTGCTAGTGAACCAAGCGGAAGAAGAGTCCAACGACTGTCCAACGATTTGGGTTTAGAGTTTCTCAATGAGCATAGCGATGACCGCGAGAACGATAGTCGCAGGCGGAGTGATGATACAGTACGACCAGAAGATCGTACGCGAGATGAGACGTTCGAAGGCATCGCCACCTACGGCGTGCGTCATCTGTGAGCAGCGTCAGTGATGCGCTCGATATCGTCCAACTGGAGGCAACTTGCCTGGGAAAGGGTAAGAGCAGGCGGAGACCCAAGTAACAGCACGAGCGAAAGGATGAAGACAGGACTATGGACAGGGGTTAGGTTCAGGGAGGCCAGCTGAGCAAGTGAAGCACGCACTCTTCAAAGACCGGAGGCTGGTCAACACTAGCGCCCCACGCCATGAATGGCAAGACAAGCGCGGGAACGACAATCATCCTGCTTGCGATAGCCACGAAGACAGTCCTTCCCTCTCCCCTCGGCGCCGCCTCGCCTCTCGAGCGCTTGCTAGCCTTCCCACCTACGAACGATCTCAACGAGAACAAGCTCTTGCTCCTCCTCCACCAGCTCTCCCCCTCCGCCCGAACTGGTGCACGTCCTCTCGGCTCAACATCGTCCTCGTCCTCCTTTGGCTTCTCACGATAGAAGTACGCGCCAAGCACGACAAGCGTGATGGGGATCGAGCAGTTTCCGAGCTGGCCCACGGCGCCTTTGACAGGCGTGATGTGTACGTCGAGCGCGTGTTGCAGTGCGGGCCACAGCGCGACGATGATACTGACTATACTCGCGTAGAGCGGCATAGTCATGAAATCGTTGAACGCCCTGAACGCTTTCTTCGTGCCCCTCCACATCCTGCTCGCAAGGCTTGGCCGCCTAGATGACCGCGTAGAGAACGAGAGAGCATCCTCATCCTCGTTATCTGATCCAGAGAGCTCAGACGGTGGTGCCAGCAGTGGCGACGGAGGGGAGTCAGGCGCGAGATTCACGCGGCTTCCACCGGGTGTATTGGGGAAAGAGCGGAAGGCGCGCGCAGTGGGTTCGCGGTGGGCCGTGGGCCGGCGCTCGAATGTGGGCGGTGATGGGTCGAGGGTGATAGCGGGTACCGCGGGGTGCTCGTCGTCTCCCTCCTCAGCATCGGATAGCAACGCGGTGCTCTCATCCGGATAACCAGGGATGCGATGGTATCCGTTCCCATTCGTCTGCGGGACGGCGTCCTCTGTCGGGTCCGCTGCGGCCAATAGACGAACACCGACACTCCATCGTAACTATCAGACACGTCAGATGTCAGAATACGAATGGAAAACGTGGAGGCAATCGACACGACGTACCACCATGCCAAGCGTTGAACAGAGTGTGAGATACGTCAGCGCGCGACCGAGCATTTGCGCGTGCGTGTCGTCCTCGCCCCATGCTAGACCAGGCACCGCGTAGACTAGACTCTGGAGTAGCGCGATGGGTAGAGAGTTGGAGTTCATGAACATGGACGCGGCGATGGCGAAGTTTCTTTGGGTGCGGCTAAGGCGGAAGACGGTGCCCAGCGCGAACGCCACAGCCGCCGAGACGATGGACAGCGCGATGAAGAAGAGCGGGACGATCCATAGCTCCTTGAATTTTTCTGGACTGAGAGAGAACGCCTATGATAGTCAGCATTCGCCCGTGTACGCTGTAGCAGGATGGTCTACGCACGACTTTCGCGAAGATGAGAGAGGGCGTGAAGAGCGAGATGTTCAGCCTGTTCAGGGCTTGCTGGATGTTGCGCGGTAGCAAGCCAGCGCGCGCGAGAAAGAAGCCAGATACAGCGACGAGAAAGACTTGTGCGATAGAGATGAGAGTCGTCTTCAGTAGCAAGACGACGTGCGAGTCCGTCATGGTGTACAAGGTTGGGCCGGGTGGCTCGGCGCCGCTGCGACTTTATGAGGCGGGTCTAAAAAGCAAACGTGCCTCGGTTCGGCGCAGTCATAGCCATTTCGTCACTTGTTGTGCAGTGCTGACGGAGTCTATTCCGCTACTGGTGACAAGGACAAGGGCTGCTCTAGAATCGCTTGGTGGACACGAGCATGACTGCTGCTGTGCGCAGGCGCTGCTGGAAGTCTGAGATGACTTCGCAAAATGAGGGAAGGTGGAAGGTGTGTCTTGGATGTCAAGTGACGCCACGGCCCTGAGCGAGTGTGCGCGTGTGGGTCCAGCATCTTCGGATCGAGCATCGGCATGGTGAAGAGGAGGCGTTTTATATTCCGGAGTATCGTAACAAGTACATCGAGATCGTAAGTAGATAGTAAGCTTCGTAGCGGTGGGCGTACATTCATAAGTATACGTTATAAAGATGGATTATGTGAGAGTAGTTCCGGAGACAAAACCATGAAGGCTATCCTACCAAGAAACATCCGGGCCAGCGCAACTGCTCAAGCACACACGAACGTGCATGAGGACCTGCCCAGAGTCGCCCTCTGGCTCAAGCCTGCTTGGCCCTGTACGTCGAGCGACCAAAGACGGCGGAGGTGACTTTGGACACGGCAGAATAAAAGGCGCTGAACAGCCCCCACGAGCGTTTCCCTTCCCGCAGATGGCTTGGCCTGCCAGGGAAGCTCGGAAGCGTAAGTAAGTCCATCGTGTCGGCCTTGCGTTTGCTGAGCGGTGGATAACGCCCACTCAGCACCATGTCGAGCCATGACGGCGAGTCAAGCGCCGTACGTTGATGGGTGAAGGTGTCGAAGGTGTGTTTGCCCTTGTAGGCGCCGCTTCCGCTCGGTCCGACACCACCGAACGGCGCGCCAGGCGCGGCCCAATGAATCATCGTGTCGTTGGTCACAACGGCACCCGAGCGAGTCGAAGAGGTGACATGGTCGACGTAGGACTGGTTGCGCGAGAAGATGTAGAGCGACAGTGGGTGATCGTGCGCGTTCACGTATGCGATCGCGGCGTCTACAGAAGAGACGGGGATGATGGGAAGTATGGGACCGAAGAGCTCCCTGAGAGACATCAGCGTCATCTAGCTGCTGAAGATGATATCGAGACTTACTCGGCCATGAGCGCGTCGTCGCCCTGTACGTCCTTGACAATGGTCGGCTCAACGAAGCGCTTCTCGATGTTGACGGCGCCTCCATAAACAATTTGGCCTTTGGTGGCATCAATCAACTTTCCCAGCCTGCTTGTATGCGTCTCGGTGATAATCCGCGAGAAGGAATCGCTCTTCTCTGCTCCGTCGGGGTAGAACTCCTTACACACGTCTAGTAGCGCCTGCACGAATTTGTCTTGGAAGTCCTTCTGGACCAGCGCGTAGTCCGGCGCGATACACGTCTGACCTGCGTTCGCGAACTTGCCCCAGAGCATGCGACGTGCCGCAACCTTCAGATCGCAGGTCGAATCAACAAATACGGGCGATTTACCGCCGAGCTCTGTCGTCACTGGCGATAGCGTTTTGGCCGCGGCGGATAGTACGATCCGTGCGACGCGTCCGGACCCAGTATACATGACTGCGAAGTTGATCGTTAGCAGATGGTACGTGCAACGGGTGGGAGATTGCTCGATGGAAGAAGCGGGCGCAATCAATAGACAAAGTTGCAAGAACTTGTTCAACAGATCCCAGACTTACTGTGATCCCATTGGCTCTCCAGCAATAGCGTCGTTTCCGGCACCGCGCCGTTCACGACGCGCACAACCTCCGGGTCGACATAGAGTGGGAACAGCTTGGCGAATACCGCGCTCAGATGAGGCGTGAGCTCGCTCGGCTTGAATGCGACGGTACATCCGGCTGCGAGCGCGCCACCAATGGGTGCGAGAGTGAGGTTAAAAGCGTAGTTGAAAGGCGATATAATGAGCACGCAGCCCTTTGGCTCCTTCCTCACACGCGGGCGCATCGCCGTCCATGCGACGTCGAACGGCATGCTTTCCGTCTTGCTCCATTTCGCAACACCATCATACAGTGTACGGAGATCGCCCAGGACGGGCGCAACCTCCAGGCTGGGTACATTAGTGAGCAAAGCCCCTTTCAGCGAATGTGCTTGATTGGCGTACATGTGAGTTTCCAGCGGCGCGCGCCCAAGATCCTTCGCGAGTGCAGCGTTGAACAAGTCAATGTTATCCTTCAGCATGTACACCAAGCCCAGAATCTGTTCTTTTCTCCAGGCGACGTCCCGCGTCTTGCCCGACGCGAAGACGCGTCCAAGGTCGTCGCGCACCTTTGACACAAACGTAAGTTCGCCACAACTCCGAGTCAATCATTCGGGGATACGTACCTTCGCGACGTCCTCAAGCGTCATAGGCGCATACTCCGGGAGCTCAGCTGCAGAGATAGCCTGGCTCATGATGGCGGTGCGCAGAAACTGCTAATGGCAAGATATCGCGAGACTGCGCCGGAATAGGGCAGCGTTCAGGCCTACGGAAGCAGAGCGAGACAACAACGGCGGCATAGGAAACGCATCAGGTCTTTATAAGAACGATCATCTGTTGTGGGAGGATTTAGCCGTGCGCATATGGGAAAGGCTGCCGGCGAACAACAGAAGCCATCCAGCGGGGCACCACAGGAACGGGACAGGGACGAGGTCGTACACAGACCGCGGTCCCTTGCTTGATCGACAAACACGTCCGCTCCGGATGGCACCGGACCAATGTCGCGCGACGCGGCCCCTTGCTTTGTCTGCGCCCACCACCGACGACCGCCCTGACGAGTCCGCACAAAGCCCAACGGCGTTCCCGGCGCTTTCCTAGGCGCTCTTTGGTGTCGAAGAACATCGAGTCTTCGCGGTTCGTGATCATGAGCGCCTTCATCGCAGGAGTCTACCACATGCTTCCCATCTCGGCGCTCGGTCGCTGGCGGAGTTCCGCGCTTTCGGAGACCCACGCTTAATTGATGTCTGCATTCCGATGGTCGATGTTGCGGTGTTGGCGTCTTTGTGGACATGTATGGATCAATTCTTCTGAGACATATCCAGACTAAAGTCGCCACGAGTTGGTCTAGTCTTTTGTGCCCTGTCTTGCAGGGAGCCTTTTCGAAGGCTAATCTTGATAGCAATTCAAAGTGCGCTCGAAGGTGTATGTACCGCTTACCTGGTGAGGCAGGGGCAGGCAGGGGCAGGCAGGGGCTTCTGTTCGTTAGATGCCCTCCATCAACAAACCGTGAAGGCAGGTCAAGTGCTTGGTAGGGCTTCAAGCAACTCAAGCAATTCAAGCGATGCAA